TTTAGTATGGTGAATAAACTCCTACTAGACTGATCCTCTGGTAGGTAACAACTGAAACACTAAGGAAAACTAACTTTAATTACCTCTATCTCTCGCTCTCTCTGTTTCTCTTACCCCCCCCCCCATACTGCTAAGTAAACAAAAACGAGTCAAAACTTAGAAAAAGGAATGGTACTGGCTGAGTTTGAGTTCCCTTTTTTAAAACAATATAAGAGCATTTAGTCACTAGACAGTTACTATGTAAGCTGGCTAAAATTCTGCTAGGAAATTTTACTCTTGCCAGCCTAGCGAATGAGAAGACAGAGTTCAGGGCAGCCACAGCCACTAAAAAGTAAAGGTGTAATACTAGAAAGAGCCAGGATGGGGAACCCCAAATTCTACACATAAACTCTACCTAAATCAAGGGCTACTTCCTGAACAACACTCATGTGTAAGAAACTACAGCTAAGGACAGAAGAATTACTGTACGCTAAGGGCTCAACTGAGTTCTAAGAGACAAAGATTATTGTCTGATTCACACCAGGTAAATTTGCCAAAGCAAAAATATCAGTACTATCTAAGGAAATAGTACAAAGTCTGGTCTCCAAAACATCTTTCCCAATTTCTAGAATATAATCTAAAATCAAAATTACTCAACATACAAAAATCCAGGAAAATGTGACACATTATCAATAATAAAAACATCAACAATGGAACATATAGGGCTGGGGATATAGCTCAGTGGCACGAGCACCTGCCTAGCAAGCGCAAGGTCCTAAGTTCAATTCCCTGTGCAAACAAAGAAACAAACAACCACAGCAATGAAAAGCAAGTAAGAAAACTCAGATGCAACAATTAGCAGAGAATTTATAAAGTCGCTATTGTAATCTATTATAGATCATGTTCAGTGATGTAAAATATAATTTAGGTTCCTTAACCTAGAATACATTCATTGACTAAGAGAGACATACAACGGAAATAAAGAATTTATTATTTACAGATACGGAGGTAACACGGTGCATCTAGAGACTACACACAGGGGTCAGGGAGTATCGGCAGGCCAAGGGACCTGAGGGCCAACACCCACATTGGGTTTAGGGAATTCTCCTATCAGGCTCCTCACTGGAGGTTTATTGGTGGGTTTGGACATAGTGGGCGTGAGTTCCAGGAAGCCAGGCAATGTTAGGAACTATTTGCTGTGGCGTATCTGCGTGGCCCCTGCACAGTGTGGGGGTCAGCAGGCCCACACGGACTGCGCTTCACTGTGCCATGTGGAGGTGGCCAGCAGGGAGCAGTGGTACAAAGCAGACCCCCAGATGCGTCACACTGAGGAACTGGAGGGGAGAGTAATGCACTGGAAACTGTGTCAAAGTGACTGAGTTCTATTTCTGGTATGAAAAAGTCCAACTTATATTTAAAATGGATGCTGAGGCAACATAAAATTATGAGCATTCAGTATAACCTGTAATTTAAAAAACAGTAAATATCAACAGACAAACTAAAACTTACAAACTCTAGAATTAAATATTCCACTAGAGAATGCTGAACAGTAGGATGAGTGCCACAAAGAGACCATGAACTTGAAAACAGATCAACAGGGGCTGGGGATTTAGCTCAGCGGCATAAGGCCTGCCTTGCAAGCAGGCGGTCGTGAGTTCGACTCCTGGTACCAATAAAAAAACAAAAAGACAAAAAAAAAAAAACACAGATCAACATAAATGATCTAATCTGAAGCATAGAAAATAAGATCAAGGGCAACATCAACACAGCCTCAGAACTATGTGGAATAACATCGACAAGTGTACTATATGTGTGGTAAATGTGGATTTCAACAGGGAGAAATGGAATCGCAAATAAGAAGCACATTCTGAAATACGCATCATTAGGTGATCATATCATTGTGTAAACATCATACAGTGTACTTAGGCTAAGGCAGCTTCAACACAATCTTATGGAACCACCGTTGCTTCCATGGTCTTTTATTGAGTGAAATATTATTATGGGGCATATGACTTCGTTTGAAGAAACAATGATCAAAAATTATTTCAAATTTGATTAAAATATAAATTCAAGCAGCGCAGCAAATTCCTTAATAAATACAAAAAAAATCATACCTAGACATACCAGGGTTAGACTACTAAAAACCAAGTATTATAAGACAATCTTGAAGACGGGAAAATGACATGGTATGTGTGACAAACAAGTTAGCATTTCTTAAAAATCGAGATTTCAAAAAACAGTTAAAATACTTTTTGAAAACTCAGAAAAAATTCAAGCCAGAATTCAACAGTCATTATGTGCATAATTTAGTCAAGGTATTATGCTGTATTATTCATACTCATGACTGTTTCATTTTACTGCCTAAAGGCCCTAAGGATTTTTTAAAGCCTTAGAAAGTCTTTAACAAAATCCTAGGCCCAATACACTAAAATTCTCAGGATAGCTGGAATTAATGGCATGGAAGGCAGCCCAGAGATGATTTCCATTGATCTCCACTCTCTGGCACTTAAGCTCTGTGTAATAGCTTCCCTCAAGGCGGGGTGACACCCAGCAACTCACTTCTACTGGGTAAAATATTGCAAAAGTGATGGGAGGTCATTTCCAAGATAAGGTTAGAAAGAAAGGAGGGTCGTGTCTTCCCTACCCTCTCTGATTGCTTTGGTCTAACAGAAACTTGAGTTGCTAGGTTGTGGCGTCCTCTGTAGAGAGATTTCTGCAAATGGCAGAGAACAGAGCGAATCTTCTGCTTAACCAACAGCAGGCAAGAAAGGCACTCAGCCCAGCAGCCTGTGAGGGGAACTGAATTCTGCCAACAGCAGAATCTAAAAAGAATCCTTTAGTTGAGACCATTGACTGCAGCTTTGTGAGAGACCCTGAGGTAAAGGCATCCAGCAAATCACACCCAGAAAATATAAGAACACTTATTCTCGTAAGTCACAACATTTGGGGGGTTTTGTTATTAAGCAGCAATAGACAGTTAATATAGATGGATAATGGCTTAAGACAATAAACTACATTCATGGTAATTCTAAAACCAGCATCTTTCTTAACGAGGAAACCCTACAGGAATTCCAGTCCACCTCATTCTGAAGGAACAAGCCAATGCAACTAGACTGGAAAAAATAAGTAACGGCATGGGAGTTGGACAAAACTCACTATCTGTATGTTCACACACAAGAGGACATCTAGAGAACCTGAAACAGTAATGGTGAACCTTTTACAGACAGCGCCCAAATCACACTCCAAAACCCACCTCTATCGTAAAGTGTCAACACTGCAATTAAACCTGAACACTGAAGTTTTAGTTCAGAAAAAAATTCATACGTGAATATCTTTTTTTTTTTTTTGTCTTTTTCGTTTTTATCGGTACCAGGGATCGAACTCACGACTGCCTGCTTGCAAGGCAGGCGCTTATGCCGCTGAGCTAAATCCCCAGCCCCTATGAATATCTTTTGTCTTACAAGACAAACGAATAACACACATGCCACCATAGGTTCACCACCACTGACCTGAAGAATCCATGTGACTGATACAATGCAAGATTTCAGCAAGATACCAGGATATAGTTAACAGGCTAAAATCAACTCTATATATTTAACCAGTTAGAAGACATAACAAATGAGCAAAACTCATTTATATTGGCAAAGCAAACAGATAAAATACTGATTCTAGAACTTCAAAAACCTATACGAACACTAAAAAATACCCAAATGGACAAAAAAAAAGTGATCTAAAAAATACAGGGAAAAGGATGGGGCTCAGAATCCTAGTTTAACATGCATGAGGCATGGTTCCGTCCCCAGCATGGCCCAAAAAGAAAAAATTTTTTTTGTTTTTGTTTTTAGAGATACACACTGAAATATTTGAGGACAAAGAAAGAGCCATGATTATCTAACTTAGTTTTTAAAACTTCAGAAAATAAAAGATGAACACACATACACAAAAGCACATCAAGAATAAAGGCAAAAACACAACAAAGTAAATGGAATAAAACACCATTGAAACGCTAAATGGAATCTAATCAAGAGGAAACAGTCAGATGCAGACACGTACTTTACATAAACCTTTTTAAAAAATAAATTGGGATGATTTAACTGTATATTAGATGCTATTGAATGAGTATTACTTTTCCTGATTGTGATCATACTGTGATTTGCAAATTGCTTTCCAAATATTCAGAACAAAATAGCTCCTGTGTGTAAAGGCTAGTATTTTGGGAGGAGAGAAAGCTAATGTTGCAAAATGTTAAAATTGATTCGATTTAAGTCAAGGGTACCTGGGTATTCATTGTACTGCATTTTAAAACTCTGTTTGCTTTAAAAATTTCAAAATACAATGAAAGTATTTGACAAAAGGAAATGATAGAGGCTCTGGATATAAAAAGGAAGGAACATATGGGATTGGCTTTCTTTCCTTTACCTCACAAGAATCATAACAAACAATGAAGAGAATAAGAAATGTCAAAGCAATTCATCCCGCATGAAATCAGGGGGGCAGCTGGAAGAAATAAATTTAAGACCTACATTGATCTTTCTCAGTGTAAGTTAACAGACACTTGTAAGCTGATGCGTTACAAAGCAAAAGTGTAAACATGTTATTTAGCATTATGAAGGCAATTATCAAAATACAATAATGAGGTGTGGAGAATGCAGAGAAAGATAATTCCACTATATCTTTTAAACATTTTATACCATCTCACTGTTTCTACTTAATATCACATGTAGTAACAACAAGCACAGATTTTTCCCAGTTACAGGAACTATCTAGTAGGCTCTATGACAAGGTGCTTGGCCCAGAGAAAATGCATTGCTCTTCGTCTTCATTACCTTGAAGTGAGACACTAAAAATGGTAAAATACTTTAAAACTCTGTTGGGTTTAAAGAAACAAGTCTATCTAAAGGAGTAGTACCATGATCACAATACCAAAAGATAACATCAGTACATCGCAATGACATATCCTATTATTTCAAATAAAATTATTTCCATTTTTGTTGTTTAAAAGTTTGAATAAACAGACTCACAGTTCCACAAGGTTTGGAAGCTTCTGAGCAAGGTTTTCTGGCTGAAAATTAAAAACTGAGAATTAAATTTTATTTTTGAAAAATGTATAAACATTTGTAAATTGCTTAAACACAAAGTACTACCTGCTTGAAGCTATAATTTTTTTTTATTTTATTTTTTTTATTGAGACAGGGTCTCACTGTGTAGTCCAGGCTGGTCTTGAGTTCACTATGGAACCCAGGCTGGCCTTGAACTCATAGCAATCCTCCTGCCTGAGCCTCCCCGAGTGCTGGATGACAAGTGTGCACCACCATGTCCTGCTAAAGCATATATGTTTTTGAAAAAAAATGTAAAATAATAAATAGGCAGATCAGGGTTTCAGCTTACATAGCCCACGCTACAAGTGATAAGCTCCAACACTTAGAATCTGCATCTCATATAGAAATGAGGATCGGCATCTTCCACGGTCATGGAAGAAACGTAAATTTGCTAGCAGATGTGGACGGGAAAACGCTATGTGAAGACACAGCCAGAGACCAGCGGGGGAGAGCCGCAGACAGGACCTAACGGACCACAGCGGCATTCTGGACCCTTGCTTTCAAGACCTTGCGAGGACAGAGGCCTATTGCTCAAGTCCCTGGGTTTCGGTGTTCTGTCTCATTGGCCCAGGAAGGTACCATACCCTAAGTTCCCAAATACAGGCAGGAAGTGCACAGGGACCAGGGCTCATCAAGAGCTGAGGCTGGGGTTCCTGTGGTCCAGTGGAGGACAGAGGGTCACTCCTGGCCAAAGGTCCCGAGACCAGGGTAGAGGCGCTGGGTGGCAGAGAGAGAAAGCTGGCTTTGGGGAGAAGGGCCCTTCCAGGGAAGGGACCCTAGAACACGGTGCTCACAGGCAGGGCCAGCTGCTCTCTACAGCGAGCCCAGGGCAGGGGAAGAGCATCCCGTAAATAATACCTGACAGCCAGCGTAACATGCAAAGAACCTCAATCCTCCATCTCTCTCTCTCTCACATACACTCTTCAAATTTCCATGTACCCAAAGAAATGCTGTTAAGACTGAAGGAACACGTGGGAAATTTTTTCATTCTACATTAACACACACTGTAAATTAGATATTAATGACGATTAATTTCTTTGTAGGAGAAATCCTATCTGATTTAAGTCTGAAAGACAAATGTAAATTATAAGAGGCTGACATAAGGTGGAGAGGAGGACAGTTCTAGATACTTTGTAAGTACAGGAAGTAAGATAGGAAAAGGCAAAAGAAACAGGAAGCAATTTAGCAAACTGAAAATACAATCTATCTTGCTTGGTAACTCCTAAAAGTTTAAGAAGTCTTAAACTTCCACCATGGAAAATCCTGTTATAAATACAACTGTGTCAATAGGAAAACACTAGGGGACTATCACATTTTAGAATTGCAGTGACATAATAAGTTTTCACCTACTTAATAGCAAAAAAGCTTTACAATTTTTTTAAAAAAAGAAACTAATAATGATTATTTTGAAGAAATGGACCAGGATTGCTATTCTCCTACTTCTGTCATTGGAAGTTTTAACAACCAATGTTAATTGAAACATTAAAATTTTTTGTAAATGAAAACATTAAAATTAAGTTTTAAAATGTAGCAGGCACAGTGTAAGTGTTACGTAATTGACTAGTCAATCATGCTGTTTACTATTTGAGACTTAAACACTCAAAGACAGCTGTCATTAGTTAGTAGGCTGAGTTATCAAGTTGGAAGATATGTGACAGTTTTTGGGAGAGTGGCAAGGAACACATCATTGGGGCTTTTATTTTATACTAGAGAATAACTTTCTTAAAGTGCAAACCACAGTGGAAATCTGCCTGTTTGTTTTAGACAGGGAAACATTTTTAACTGTAAGTCGCCTCTTCCAGCCCCCAGCCTGCTGGCCAGCAAAAGCTCTACTGTCGGCAGGGAACTCAGCTCTGCACTGACAATCGACAAGGACAGGAAAGGAGGTAAGGAAAGACAAGGAATTTACAGGTCGCAGGGACATCTGGAGACATCAGAAACCTTACAATGAGCACTTCAAAGGCCTCTGCCCACCGAGGTACCAGATCACCAGGGAACTTTAACCACCGATATTCACTGGTATCTTCCCACCTAATGTCTCTGCCTTCTCTACATCCCTATAAAAAGGACACACTTCTGTTGGGGCAGAAGGTCTTATCAGCTCTCTGCCTGAATTCAGGCATAATAAACTCCACATAATGTTGCCTTTACATAAGCCTGGTGGTCCCTAATGCTTACACATGTTACATTAACTTTATATTGGCATGCAGATGTATTTAAAACTCAGCAATAGTATCTGAAGCAAATTCCACCAAATATGAACACTGTTATAAAGTAAATGAAACATTTCCTGAATATGCACTCTTGACAGAACCACTTGTATTTGGTTTTTAAACTATGCAAGTTCCAATTCCCTTCCCTTGATATTTTTTAGATCTATATATGCAATGAGGTCCTTCAAAATTCCTCTCCTCATACATTACTTGGGGATCCATCCTACTTCTTTTAGTAAGTAGGACATGCACACCCATTCATAGGCACACGGGAAAAACATCTTAACAAAACCAACTATAAGCAACTGCTTATAGCTGCTCCTAAAAAAAAGTAAAGACCTGTCCAGAAAATGAATGCTTTTGGGTCCTCAACTATCTTCACCTATTACAACATTGATACTGTGTCTAGCTAACTCACACGAAAACCACTCATCCTTTCTGGTTCCATCAGCCTGCATTCTTACCTTCCATGATGAACTACTTAGTTCTTTTGACTTATAGCTACATACACAATTAAGTGCTAAAATGTTTGGATCACTATGTAATTATTTAAAAGATTGTGTTTTCATTTAAAAATAAGCACAGTGTTAAGACCTTGATAAAATGGCAGTTAGGATGCTCCCTTTTAAAAATACAAAAAAAAAAAAAAAGTGAAAATCCTACATAAACAAGCTTTTTGAACAAATGCTCACAAAACCTGGCACGCAAAGCAGCCTTTTGCACAGGCTATGGCTGACACCTACTGGCGTTCGGTAATATTTTCTGCTTTCTAATACCAGATTTTTAAAAGGAGCCCAAAAATATATGGAAATTCTACATATTTGAATTTTCATGCTTCTATCAATTTAGGTCATGAATAGATTAAATAACTATAAGTTTGTGTCAAAATTTTTGTTACTTTGTAGGAAACTGAACTTAATGTTCAATTCTGAATGGCACTATTTTATTCTACTGTATAAGATTTATAAGTTATTCAGATTTTAAATGTTTCTAAAAGTTGAAATCTTCATAAAAGCAGTAGTTTAAAGTGCTTCTCAAATCCGTTATTTCTGCTATTTCCTTTTTTGAGTGTTTTAACAAAGAAAAATTATAAAAGACAAATAACCTATACCTAAATTCCTTGGACACAAAAACCTCCATTAAACTACTTAAAATTGTTTTTCTAAACTGAAGACTCTCTTTGCTAAATCCTACCAATATCATCACTCAGCTGAATATTTTTTTGCTAAAGTCTACTGCAAAAGTAATATACTAAAACTCTGCTTGCCAAAGCAGACTTCAGCAAGCACAGAGAGTGTAAACCGTACTTCAAATTTTTCAATCAATGATGCTTTACCATATATTTTTAAATTTTCCTTAAATGTAAACAAGCACTTTAAATATTTTTGCAAACAAGAGGCTTTGTGATATTCTTTGGCGGGCTCTGTGGACCAGCTGCTTCCTGTCTGGGCCCTTAGGAGAAGTACATTTCTCTAGGCTGACTGTGGCTTAGCAACTTGCTTTCATCAGGGAAATTAAGTTCCAGTGGAAGCCTTAAGAGCTGGAGTGCAGAAGACCGTGCTCCTTCCTCAGTGATCTCCAGATGGCGGAAGTCTTCCGACTTCATCTCTAAATGAGGATACTACAAACTAGCGTCCCCGGGCAATCTAAGAGAGTGAGGCAGGGTACTTAATACTTCTGCTGTTGTAAGCCTTGAGCAGTCACAGTTCAACAAAACCTATACCATTCAGGCCTCTAACAATCCCTTTCAAAGAAGTCACATGTGAAAAGCATTTTACAGCAGTTATAAAAAGAATCAAGTAAAATGTATTTGGACCCTTACACTATATACAAAACAATAGCTTCAAATGGATCAAGATTTTAAATTTAAGAGATAAAACTGTAACTCACAGAAGAAAATAGAGGTATAAATCTGACTTTATATTTTGCATTGGGTTCATAGTTATTTCACTGAAAACATGAGCAAAAGGAAAAAAGAAGTAAATGACTTGATCAAAATCAAAACCTGTTATGTATATTAAGGGATATTACAAGAAAGTAAAAAAGGCTACATCCTAAGGAATTGGAGAAAATATAAATTATATGTCTGATAAGGGTCTAGCGTGCGGAATGTAAGAAGATTTCTTAAAATTCAGTAAGAAAAAGACAACTTAAAAAACAGGCCGAGTATATTAAGACAGATTTCTCCAAAGAAGGCCTCTGTCCTGGCTTGAGTCCTGGATGTCCGGTGGCTCATGTGTTAACAAAGGCTGGATTCCCAGAGTGCCGCTCTTGGGAACCTTTAAGAGACAGAGCATCATAGGAGGTCCTTGGGGGCTGGGGTAGGCACCTGAAGGGGACTGCGGAGCCCTGGCCCTTCCTTCATGTCCTCTGCTTCCGGGTCCCAGGGCAGCAGCTTTGTTCTGCCATGTGCTCAATGTCATTACCAAGTGGCACCTCTCCTGGAAATCTAAAATCAGCAGGTCAGGCTGGCCAAGGTGGCACATGCCTGTAATCTCAGCACTCAGGAGGCTGCAGCAGGAGGGAGGATTTCTGTGGGTTGGAGGCCAACCTGGGGTTCAAAGTGAGTTCAAGTTCAAGGCCAGCCTGAAGTGCATAGTGAAACCCTGTCTCACAGGGGAGAGGGGACACTAAATCAATCAATCAATAAATAAAAGCAGCAGGTCTGTTCAATCAAGGACTGCAATTCTAAAAACAGTAAGGCAAAATAAGCCTTTCCTCTTCATAAATTGCTTATCTAAGGTGCTTGT